TCGGCTCACGAGCGAAGTAAGGGGTAAGTGAAGTAGGAGACGGGCGACCCGACGAGCTGGTGCCGAATGCGCGGGGTTGACGCGTGGGGCTACGAGGGACTGTAGCGCGCGGGCGAGCCTGACGGGTGCAGGAGGACTAAGCGGGGTGATGGCTTCGTGGGTTGGTGCGTGACGACGAACTGTCCTCATCGGAGAGAGAGAGAGAGTAAGAGAGACCCGAGGATGATGGGCGTGGATTTGCAAATTTCTTTGTCTTGTCTCCCTCTTTACTTTTGTATATAAATTTTGATCTCGGCTCGGGGCAGCTCAACCGTTTTCTTTTGTTTTCGGAATCTTGGCCTCAGCTTCTGCCCACACTTGTTTTGTGATTGATCTTGGTCTTGGTTATTGTACGTTGTGCCAAATGAATGGATGAATGATATGGTTGTCGCTTCTCTTGTCTGGTCATCATCATTGCTTCTGTAGTCCGTGACGATTTTGCATGAGGAATTAGACTCTCATTTTTTGCGTTTTTGTGGAAACAAGCGAATACCTCGTGGGATACGTGTACACGCGATCTGATCTGCGCAACCACATGTATCCACGCGCGACGATTCGCGACCATTAACGAAACTGATAGGCGGGAATTCTCCTCCTTGCACCCACCTAAACGGATAGGAACTTCCGATATCGCATCAACAAATCCCCTCGCCAGTTAGATGCGCGCGAAAGGTTTCCACTATGCCGTAATGATAAGATGCCGAGCTCATGGGATTCAGAGTAGTTCGAACCGTGGATAATAGAAGAACTTAGGCAGAGACAACCAAAATTTCCCTGCTTAACTGAAAACCGGCTGTGTCCGCGGGAGTTTCACTGTGCTATAACTAGCGACCCACGATGCCCCGAGTACCCAACTACGTATAACACACAATATTTCATATCCCCCGGATTTGTCGTTATCACATCCAACTTCCCTCCCTTCCGTCTTAATCCTCTCGTATCATTAGCTCATCGTGGTGTCGTGGAATTCTATCGCCCCGTACTAGCCCCTCACACCTTGTGGAAATTGTCGGCGACGCGGCAACCGACGAGCCTCTGAAACTACGAGGCCTAACCAAAGCGCGCGACAACAAACGCCACGTGTCTGCACCCGGAGGACCAACTCATCGGAACCACAACCATCCCATGCGGGCCCCTCACCGAACCGCCGCCACCAAAATAGACGGATCGGACGGCCTTGAATGCACCACACATGCCATCTGCCTTATGCTGCACATTAGCCGCCGTCCGATTGAGAACAACCCGCCCCTTGGTCCTTTCGCATCTATGCCCTTGAACCCTTGCCACAGGTGATCTCAGTTCTGACCTGGGACTCCACCCCCCACTTTCCCAAAAATCCTTGGCACACCCCATTTCGCACTTCCAGGCCCACCCACTCCGATCAGGAAGTCGCGCCGGGCGTGAGGTTGGTATCGGAGTCCGACACGTGGCAGGGTTCTAGGACTCATAGTTGGGCGATCTGGCTAACAGAGGATGACCTCGACCACGGAACGCGCACCGACGCGATCCTGTCGTCACCAGAAGCGGGTCTGCGGCCCGACGGGCGGGCAACATGAATGCTAATCAGCAGAACCCCCAACAGAATCCTAATCAACCCGTACCACGAGCATGGGCTCCCATGACGCCACCTGACCTCTATTTGTTTGACCCTGCACATCATCTTGCTGGAGCATGGCTAGCCTCGTTCCAGGCTCAGAAGCATGACGACAACGAAGCTCAGGTAAACATTCTCACTCGATTAGGAGGGGACGCTCATCATTGGTTTAGTACTTATGTATGGGTGGATCTTCCGACCTTCGAGCGAGATTTTTTGAATCGGTTTGATTATATCCATCCGGAACAAGCAATCTTTATGATTAAGGACCGAGTTCAAAAACCCCCCGAGTCTGTCACGGAGTATTGAAACCGGTTTCACCGAATGTTTGTAAAAACGGAACGAGGTGAGCAAGTAGGAAGAGATTTGTTCATCGACTGACTTCGCAGCCGAACGATGAGGGCGAAACTTCGAAAATTGTTCTCCCCCATCAATCACACGGTGCAACAGATCATGGCCGCCGCAGAAGAAATGGAACGAAAGTTCGCTGCGAGTTTCCTAGAAGGAAAAGACTATCCCAGGGAAGGAGACTCGCCCGAACTAGCGAGAGCTAAAGCTGAGTTGGATGCACTGCAGAACAAATTTAAAAACATGGGGTTTGTGTCCGGTCCGGTCACGTATCTAGAACAGATTACCCCTAAAAGATCAGTTCCAAGTGTGATTGCAAGCGTACCCACTCCCGTGATGACAATACCCTCACCCCGATCGAAAATCCCGCACAACCAAATGAGTCTTCCACCCTATTAGAACTAACCAAGACATTGGTTACTCTGATTCAGGAAAGCAAAAAGGAGCAGCAGGAGCATAACGCTCAGATCGAGGCGATGATGAGATCGATGCGACCCATCGCAGTATGTGCCTCGCCGATCCAACACAGGTTGGCTCTGGCACCGTCTCCTGCAGGGATCCTAGGCAATCTGAATGTTTGTTACACGTGTCACCAACCAGGACACATAGCCCGCGATCGCCCTCACCGGCCCCCGCAACCACGGGTCGGAGCCACACCAGTAGCTGCAGCCTCGACCGCTAACGGGCCAGGACGGGTAGGAGCATTAATGAAAGAGGTAGAAGGAGGCGGAACCACCTTAGCAACCATGGAGGAAGCTGCAGAGCTTATCCCACAGGATAAGTATGTAACGCTAGGTTATCCGGGGCTTGGGATGATAGGCATGATTAGACCTGCGCCTGAACAACGAGAAGTGGAAGAGTGGTGACCTTCTCCAGGAGAGATGGATTCGGGAGGACCCACCTTCGTCACTCAGGAAATGGATGTTCTAAACATCGTACGAGCCTTGGATCATCGAATCCCCCTTCCGATAGGCCATCTGCTTGCGATATCAGAACAAACCAACGAATGTATGCTACAACATTGCAAAGCAAATCGGAAACGGTTTGCTCTTACCCGAACCGCAAATACGAAAGAAAAAAGTCCAACACCAGACAAAAATGCCGCAGGTACTTCTGACCCCATACGGATAGGATTGATCCAAAAACATGATCACTTCCTGCGGATTAAACCAATCCCATGGAAATCCGCGGAATGCGATATGGAGGTATGGGGAATTCCTTACAATGCTATCATCGATTCTGGAACCGCTATATTAGCTATCTCATTACGGGTAGTGGAAAGGGTAGGGAGAAAGAACGATCTAATCATGCTGGCCGAAAAATCAGCTCGTTTCAGCAGATGAAGAAAAGATCAAAACGGTAGGATGAATGACCAACGTTGGTTTTCGATTAGGGAAGGTGCATGCCCTGGGAGACGTCGTAGTCCTGGACGTAAACACTTACGACGTCCTTTTTGGCCTTCCCGCCCTTGTGGCCTTACGGGCCAATCTGGACTTCGAAAGACGATCGATTGTCCTCCGAAATACGGGAGGAAAACCCTATGTGGTATTAATGAGACTGACCCTTCGTACTACCCCTAACGTAACCCTGCGAGTTTCTCCCATGATGACGGGGACCCTTCGCGTGATTACCTGGGACAATGGGCAGACGTCCAAGGACGCAAACAACAGCGATGATGATGATGATCCCGTAATCCTGGAGAGCGCAACAACGTATCCATTACCCCGCGCAGCGAACAAATGCAAAAGCCTTGAGCAGGGCTAACCACGATCTACAGAGAACACAAGTAATGATTATGGGAGAACCTCTCGTACAGATTTCAAGGATCGTTGATTCTTTGGAACCCCCTCGAACCCTGTACGAAGGTATCTCCCCTTTGCTCGCAAGATATGATGACAAAAGGCATTACTGCGATATCACGAACCTTCCACGATCTCTTTTGACACCTGCAAAAGAGATACGATTGTTGCGCTTAGGGGCGAAGACCAATTCTTTGGAACCCCTTGAGCGCCTTGAAACCGGTCTCGGAATCAAGATCGCAACGAAACTTGTGCCGTGGCAAGACATTTGAGACGGAGTAACACCGGACGAACACGTGGTCATTCGGGAACAGGATGCACAGATGATGGCCACGGTGTTTTCCTGGCGATCAGATAACTCGTTCATTTCCGCGCCCCCGCCCGAAAATACCAAGCGGCTAAATACAAAACACATCGATGTAAGAATATGGGATGAGCGATTAGTGTGACAGACACGAACATCGGACTGTCGTTAGTCATACAGCACAAAATTCGAACTGGAAACCATCCCCTGATTCACTGTAAACCATACAGATATTCCCTGGTAGAACAGAAAAAGGCCCTCTAGCGGATTCGAGAATTTGAAGCAAGCGGAAGGATCGAACCCGCCACCGGGCCATGACCGTTCCCGACAATATTAGTGCCAAAAAAGAACGGATCGATTCGCATATGCATTGATTATCGCAAGCTGAATGACATCACGATCAACGATGTGTACCCCCTCCCCCGGATTGATGATTTGCTGGATACAATTGGATGTGCTAATTACTTCGGTAAGTTTGATATTCGACACGACTTTCATCACATTCTGGTTAAGGAGGAAGATCGACCAAAGACGACCTTCGTACTGTTTGAAGGTATGTGGCAATGGGTTCGGTGCCCGATGGGGATTTGCAACACGCCCGCCACGTTTCAGCGAGCTACGAATGTCACGTTCCAGAACTTCGTCAACAAGACGCGATTAACGCAGGGAATGATTAACTTCTGCGTCATCGTGTACATGGACGGCATCCTGGTGTATTCGGAGACCTATCACGGGCATGCGCAGCATATTGAGTGGACATTGGGTGCTCTGAGAGATGGCGGATTCAAGATCGCGCTCGAGAAGAGCGAATTTTTCCTTTCGGAAATTTCGTTCTTGGGCTACGTCATGACACGTGGAGAACTACGGCCTGACTCAAGAAAGGTCGCGGCGGTCAAGGAAGCCCCTGTTCCCACTTCACTGATGCAGGTTCGAGCCTTCTTGGGGTTGGCGTCGTACTATCGCCGTTTTATCAAAGGCTTCGCAGCGATTGTCCGACCTCTAACGAACCTGTTACGGAAAGGACCAGCCCCTCAGTTGGGATGAGGAATGCGAACGGGCCTTCGCAACCCTCAAGGACGCTCTGGCAACGACACGTGTTTTGATCCGGCCGGACCCTACGAAGCAGTTCATTCTTAACATGGACTGGCATTCGGAGGCTATTTCCGCTATCTTAGCGCCGAAGGGGAACGATGGCCGCAAACACGTCATCGAATATGCGTCGCGCACGGTGCCAGACGAACGGAGGAACGACTCGGCCCCACAAGGCGAGTGCTACGCCGTAGTCTGGGGAATCCAGCATTTCCATTCGTATCTTTACGGACAAAAGTTCCTTCTTGTGACAGATCATGAGCCATTGCTAGCGCTGAAGCGGCTCACTAATTACACGGGCATGATTGGATGATGCGCAGTGCGCCTACAGGAATATAACTTCGACATCATCCATCGAAAGACGGAGAGGCACGGCAATGCGGACGGACATACACGCCTGCATCGGCCAGCTAAAGTGCCTAAGGGTGAAGAGATCATTCCGTGGAAGGAACCGGAATCGGCGAACGGACCCAAGTACAGATAAGTGGCAGTCCTTCCACGTGGCAAAAAGCAGGTAGAATGCAATGGGTGACGGAGGTAATCTTACCACTCCTCTCTCTCCCCTCTCCTCCTCATCTCTCCACTCCCTACCTGATAAATTTTGTTATTTTTGCGAAGCAATTTCTCGCATATTCTTGGTCTTTATGCGCCCTAGCGGGGAAGGATATGTGGAATGGGTAGATTGTCGACAGTGCGTCGCACGAGCCCACGGCTCGTGCATCCAATACAGAAACGACGGTAAGCCTTGGTTGTGCCCCTTGTGTCGGGTCGATAAGATCCCGACCGAGGCTCCCTTTTTTGGACGCCATGTCAGAAGGGTTCAAGAAGACCCGGAAGTTTAGAAGGGTCGAAGTATGGATGGATATTGCCTTGATTGCCACTCTAGTGGGTAACCCCCTCCAGGACTCCACCAAGGAAGATCGGAGGAGCGCCAATGAAAGGGCTCGGGACTACCTCTGGAACAAAGGACGGTTGGAAAATGAAAAACGGATGGTAGTGGGATTTGGATGGTAGTGCCGCACCCGTTCACGAGGTACGACTGGGTGAAGACAACGCATGAGAAAACTGCTGCCCACTTTGCCGTACGGATCACGGAGACGGCAATTGACAAAAATGAGTGGTATTGGTCCAATATTTATGACGATGTGAAATTCATCGTCGCAAACTGTCAAGTCTCCGCTGCTGATAAGGCGCCGATTCAGCCGCCGAAATCGAAAGTACCGACGATAGTTGAACGACCTTTTCAAACGGTCAGCATGGATACTACCGATATACCGGTACCCCGTAGACCCAATAACTGTGAATATTCAATCCTACTGGTGTTCGTGGACCATTTTTCGAAATGGATTGAAGCGTATCCCTGTCGTATGCGACAGGCGGTCGAAATTGCGCGATACGTCAACCAGTTTTTTGGGATGCATCAGGACACGGAAGAGATCCTGACCGATAATGGGGTAGAATTTAGGGGAGAAGTCCTGAGGAATCTGGTCGTACATGGTGTCGCTATTCGGAACACAGCATCTCATATGTCGCATTTAACGTGCTGGTAGAGAACGAGAATAGAGTGATAAAGATTGCACTATGACGAGATATCGCGGCACAGGACCCAAGGCCCTGGCCCACGAATCGAGGAACGCCCCACGAATCGACGGGCCTGCCGGTCCATCGAGGAACGCCCCACGAATCGATGGGCCTGAGCCCGTTCCAATTACGGACCAATAGTGTGGCCTGCGTTTCGATACCGAGCCTCCCAGATGAATCTCCGTTGAATCAACGACCTACGAGAGCCACGGTTCGGGACAAGGCCAAGCGACACATGGAACTGATGGAACGGTCCTCGCCCCGATTAGCCCGAAAGCGCCAGAAAATGACGGAGTTGGCCCACGACCGCCAGGTCCGCAGTTACGAGGCCCGGAATGGGAACGCGAGTCCACGGCCCCAGTATAAATTAGGGGGCATGGTGCAGGTGAGGAAATCCTGGAAATGCGCTCGCCAAGGGAAGATAGCGCCACGATTCTTCGGGCGATTTCGCGTGATCAAGCTCGGCCCGAACGGGGTGAACACGGTGCGTCTCATGCCAGAGGTTTCGGGAAACCGATCGGCTCGGTCAATCGTTCGCCACCTGTCCTATCTACGTCCCCTCCCTTCCTCCCCATCTCCAACAACGTCTTCTTCCTCCTTCGCTTCAAAAGAAGACGACGATTTGTTGTCGCCTTCATCTCCTCCTACATCTCCCGCCCCCTCTCATACCTCCTCACCATCGCCATGAGTTTTCTCACTGAGTGAGCTCTTGGCGATCACCTGCTGGCGCCACGTGGCTACATCTCGACAATCTAGCAAGTTTATTCTGCGCTATTCAGCCCAAATCTCCTACCGCTCGCACAGTTTTTGCAGTTTTTCTGCACTACGGGGGTATACGCGGCAGCGAAATTCCGATTCGCGGGCAATCGACAGGCAGGTGTGTTGGTGGAAGCAGTAGCTGTCCATCGGCTGTCAGCCCTAGGGGTTAGCCACGTTCTACCATCGTCTTCTTTAACGGCGATATCAGCGCGATCAGCCCGTTGCGACATACGATGATCCGAACGTCACTAAGGGAGTGGGGTCAGCAGTTGGGGACAGAGTGGAGTCACTGGCTTACCCGCCATGGAGACAATCTTGTCCCTACGGACGACATCGAAGTCGGCGGGATTCGAACGTCTCAGCACGAGCCGGCGGTGGTGGTTCCGGAGCTCATCCCCTTTCAACGCCCCCAATGAACCGCTCCCAACTCTCCAACTTTGCTCTCCCATCTCTCTTCCCTACCTTCTGGCAGTCTAGTCTTCACCCTCGCTTCTCCTTTTGTCTAGAACCGCTCGCTGTTCCCCTCCTCGATCCAAGGCAGTGGGAGTTGTGGCGTGAACATTTCATCGATCTTTCGGTGTGTCTGGTTGCAGGGGTCAGGGTGCGACTCACGTGGACAAGGGACGAGGAGCACCGCGCTTGGATCGAATACCTGGAGCTACTGATCGTCCATGCCTGGAGGACGGAAGTGGAAGGAGATCTCCTCGGATTTCTGTTTGGATCGGTGCGGCCCGCCCATCGACAGCTAATCGTACAGGAGCTCACGATCCGTCTCGAGCAACTGGTCGACGATCTTCCTCTCGATATCGTCTCGCAGTGTGACGAAAGCCCGGTACCGCACATCCTTGCACGAACTCTGACGCCTTACCTTCAGTGGTCAGCTTGCCTCGAGGAGCTGGGAAGCGGCAACAACCTGCCATCGCAACGACAGTACCTGGACCCGCGGGAGATAATCGACCTCGCCTTCTTCCAGCCTCAATCGGCCTCAGAGGGCGAAGAGGGCGAAGAGGAAGAAGAGGAAGAAGAGGAAGAAGAGAAAGAAGAGGAAGAAGAGGAAGAGGGCAAAGAGGAAGAGGACGAAGAGGAAACCCGGAGGAAGGCAGTTACTGTGAACACAGCGAGGGAGAGCAGAGCGAGGAAGAAGAAGAAGAAGATGAAGATCAAGAGTTGGAGGAGTCCGAGTGGGAAAGCTTTGGAGAAGAGGCGAAACGAACAGACACTCAGGTGGAGGCTCCCGAGGCGGCACGAAAAAGAGAAGAGATTGCGGCCGGAAAGAGACAGCTGGAATTCGCAAGCGGAGCGGATTTGCCAATGGCCGACGATCCAGCTAAAGACCCGGAGCCGCCCAGGGCTGAGGATGGGGACCTTGTTGCCGAGACTTCGAACGCACCGGCCAGGCGGCTACGAAGACGATCCCCCTCCCCCTCCACCTCCGCCCGTCCACTAGTTAGAGCCCGTACCGATGCGGGCCATCGGGCTTCGTCCCCGGTCGTTATCCTGTCGTCCCCTTGATCACCTCACCCGCCGCCAGATCACCACCCATGTCACCTTCCCCCGTAATCCCTTCCCGATCGATACCTTCTGCTTTTTCTACACCACCCGCCTTGCTGTCACGGTTCACCCCCATCCCTCGACCCGGTGTGCCCTCCCCGACTTCTGTCTTCATGTCCTTCTCCTTAGCGCCGCATGGCGGGGCCACAACATCGTCGAGGTTTACAGCATGATTACGGGGACTATCCCCGCATGTGAGAACCACGATTGGTTCCGAACGGCCCTCCTTCGCACCTTCACCACCCTGTATCCCGATTACCTTGCCTCCCTCCCTCATAGTGGTACCCGATTCCCGCACTTCCATCAGATCGTTCGATATCAAGAACCTCCGGTGACAGTGGCAGGGATGGAAAACTTCCTACCCCCGCTCCCTACTAACCCACCCCTCGCCATGCACCCATGTATCGCCTCCCTTTTCCCCTCCCCGACGGATATTGATGCTCGGTTGATTGGTGTGTGCCACGGAGATGGCATAGATAATCCCCTCCTTGGATTGAAGAGAGCCCTCCGTGAGGATTTCGTAGGACAGAGCCACGTATGCCACGATGGAAGACATTCACACTCTTATCACACGGTCAGTGGCAACGAAGAAAGCTCCGCGTATCGATAAATTAGAGAGATTGACACGTGTCATGATTCAAGCAAGCAGGAGCTTGCTTAAGATTGGAACCCCCTGGGCGTCACATATGTGACGAACCGATTTCTGTTCCACGCGATTTTTTGCGGGTTAACATGAGGGGTCCTAAGCTGGGAAGGTTGCGCCAGATACGGGAGAACGAGATTGAAGGGAAGTTGCATCGGTGTCCTCGCTTCTTCGTCTTTTTGCGTCGCTTCTTTTCGGATGGTTGGGTTCAGGCCCGAAGGAGTCCCGGGGACGATCGATGAGTGGCGTGCCGTCGAGCGCGCGAATAATAATGGTTGACGTCGCTTCTTTCTATTTTTGCTGTCGGATTTTAGGCGCGGAGACCGCGCGGGAATTAAGCTTCGTTCTTTTTGAATTTTCCGTTTGAATTTCTTTTTGATCTTGCCGAGCCCCGATGGCTCTCAGAACGTTGGACTTTCTTTTTGGAACGTGTGCTTTTCGTTTTCTTTTGCATTAGATAGGAATTTAGGAATTTGAGAATTTTGGAATTTAGGATTTTTTTTTTGCTGCGAAGCACTTTTTGCCTGCCCGCTTCTTTTTGCGGCTGCAACGGAGTTCTGATTAGTTGGCGACCTTAATTTTGTGTGTAACCGTAATTTTGGGCGGGCGCCATTGTAACTGTATCTTTCTTCTTGATCTTTGTCTTTCCCACCCTCCCTTTCTCCCTTTTTGTCTTGCCGTGTCTAAGAGTAGCCCGCGGCCTGCATGCTCGGATCGATGCGTGGAGAGTGGCTACGTCCCCCACGCCGCGATCTGGCCATGCAGAACGTAGGCGCTCCATCCCTTGCTCTCCCTTCTAAGTCCTTGTAATTCCATGTTCTTCGCGCATGCATGCACGCTATAAATTCTAGCAGCGCGATTAGATATCTCTCTTAACCAGTGGTTGGAAGCTCGGGGTAGCGCGATCAGTGAGGGTCGGCTCACGAGCGAAGTAAGGGGTAAGTGAAGTAGGAGACGGGCGACCCGACGAGCTGGTGCCGAATGCGCGGGGTTGACGCGTGGGGCTACGACAGACTGTAGTGCGCGGGCGAGCCTGACGGGTGAAGGAGGACTAAGCGGGGTGACAGTTTCGTAGGTTGGTGCGTGACGACAGACGGTCTGCATAGGAGAGATAGAGAGAGGAAGAGAGAGCTGAGGATGATGGGAGTGGATTTGCAACTTTTCTTTGTCTTGTCTCCCTCTTTACATTTGTATATAAATTTTGATCTCGGCTCGGGGCAGCTCGCCCGTTCTCTTTTGTTTGCAGAATCCTAGCCTCAACTTCAGCCCACACTTGTTTTGTGATTGACCTTGATCTTGGTTATTGTGTGTTGTGCCAAATGAATGGATGAATGATATGGTTGTCGCTTCTCTTGTCTGGTCATTATCATTGCTTCTGATGTTGATTGCGATGTCTGATGTATAATGACACTTTGCATACTCGGGAATGGATGCTTGCGGATCACTGAGTGATTAGATGCTTGGGTAGTTGCCCGTGGTCCGTGACGATTTGGGATGAGGAATTAGACTCTCGTTTTTGCGCTTTTACGGAAACAAGCGAATACCTCGAGGGATACGTGTACGTGCGATCTGATCTGCGCAGCCACATGTATCCACGCGCGGTGATTCGCGACCATTAACAAAACCGATAGGCGGGAATTCTCCTCCTTGCACGCACCTAAACGGATAGGAACTTCCGATATCGCATCGAGAAATTCCCTCACAGGTTAGATGCGCGCGAAAGGCTTCCACTACGCCGTAATGACAAGATGCCGAGCTCATGGGATTCAGAGTACTTCGAACCGTGGATAATTGAAGAACTTAGGCAGAGACGACCATAATTTCCCTGCTTAACCGGAAAACCGGCTGTCCCCGGGCGTTTCACTGTGCTGTAACCAGCGACCCACGGCGCCCCGACTACCCAACTACGTATAACACACAATACTTCATATCCCCCGGACTTGTTATTATCACTACCAACTTCCCTCCCTTCCGTCGTCTCCTCCCATATCATCAGCTCACCGTGGTGCCGTGGAATTCCATCGCCCCGTATTGGCCCCTCACACCTTGTGGAAATTGTCGGCGACGCGGCAACCGACGAGCCTCTGAAACTACGAGGCCTAACCAAAGCGCGCGACGACAGACGCCACGTGTCTGCACCCGGAGAACCGACTCATCGGAACCATAACCATCCCAGCCGGGCCCCTCCCCGAACCGCCGCCACCAAGACAGACGGACCGGACGGCCTTGAATGCACCACGCATGCCATCTGCCTTATGATGCACATTGGTCGCCGTCCGATTGAGAACAACCCGCCCCTTGGTCCTATCGCATCTATGCCCTTGAACCCTTGCCGCAGGAGATCTCAGTTCTGACCTGGGACTCCACCCCCCACTTTCCCAAAAATCCTTGGCACACCCCATTTCACACTTCCAGGCCCACATCCCACTCCGATCAGGAAGTCGGGCGTCACAGCCCCTTGTCGGAGCTGAGGGTGATGGCCAAACCTAGGGATCAGCGACTCTTGTAGATTCTGTTGTAGGATGTCTGTTGTAGGAGTTGGAATCGCCCTGCTCCCTGGTATTCCACAGGGAGACACAGCCCCTTGTCAGAGCTGAGGGCGATGGCCGAACCTAGGGATCATCGAAGAAGACATCGGTCCGCCCCACAGCCGGAATCCCACCCTCCCTGCCGACGCAGAGTGCTTCCATCTCCGGACAGCGAGTACGCCTGGTAGTGCAGCCCTTCACCGACTCTTGTAGATTCTGTTGTAGGATGTCTGTAGGAGGAGGAGTTGGAATCGCCCTGCTCCCTGGTATTCCACAGGGAGACACAGCCCCTTGTCGGAGCTGAGGGCGATGGCCGAACCTAGGGATCATCGNGGAGGAGTTGGAATCGCCCTGCTCCCTGGTATTCCACAGGGAGACACAGCCCCTTGTCGGAGCTGAGGGCGATGGCCGAACCTAGGGATCATCGAAGAAGACATTGGTCCGCCCCACACCCGGAATCCCACCCTCCCTGACGACGCAGAGCGCTTCCATCTCCGGACAGCGAGTATGCCTGGTAGCGCAGCCCTTCATCGGACTGCGTCCAGCCCCTCTTGCATTAAGGCGGCCTTTGTGTCGAAACCCTGAATGTCAAAAATGGTCTGACAGCTGGGGAAAATTTCAGGGTTTCCACACTGGTGTGGAGAGGCCCTTATAGTGAGGGCTTAGTTGCACTACTCTCCATCCTCAAACATTTCGAATGCATCTGGACACGAAAGCTGTCCACTTGCATTCCGAATGTTGGTGGATGGGGAGTAGTGCAACTAGCCCCTGAGTGTCGAAAGTGTTCTGACAGCTGGCAAATACTGATGTGGCCAGGCCCTCTGGTGTGGGGCGGCCCTTATTGTCTCTATAGCATTACGCGTAACCCGTAGCAGCCACTTCCGTGCTCAAGCCTCCAACGAGGGAACATGTGGGAGCTGCACCCACCAGAAGGTGGGAGATACTGGCCAGGTGTTAGCCCGTAGCATCAGGACCGAGCTTGTGGGCAATACCGGCCAGGTGTCAGCCCGTAGCATCAGTCCAGATGCCTTCAAAATGTTGGCGGGTGGCGAGAATCGTACCTAGGCCCTATCTCAGGAAAACTACCGGCATACCATGACGGCTGCTTTCTCACCCAAAGCTCCTGGCGAGCGTTGGCTATGGTGACGAAGCAGGCGCTAAGGGCACTCACTCACACTTAGACCCTGTCGACTAAGCTCTGGCTGTGATTGCCGTCAGGTGCATCCGGTGTGGCCGTAATTGTGTTCAGATACATTTAAAAGGTGCAAGTGTGAGTATGCTCTAAGGGCCTCGCCACACCACTCTTGAAACTGCGTTTCCAAGAGTTGGACGCGTTGACACACAGCCACTTGAGAGTTGTAGCCCGAAAACTCTTTTGAGAGTTGTCAGAACCTCGTTTCAAGAGTAGCACTCGAAACTCCAAAACGCCCAGCCTGGAGCACCGCTCTTTTCAAGCAGCCTCCGAGAGCACTTGAAGGGCCTTTGATTTTTGAGAGGTGTCAGGCTGTTATCCTGACTCGATTCGGAAAAAACAAAGCTATATGACTGTCGTTTTTCATCGGTTCTCCAACACCATCGCCCTTAAATTTCGAGAGTGCTGTGTGGCGAGGGCCCCGAAGCTCTTGAAAACCCAACTCTTGAGAACGTCTGACAGCTCTTGAAAAATTTCCCCGTTTCAAGAGTGGTGTGGCGAGGCCCTAACTCTCCACCACGGGGACTCTCTACTTCCCCGGGGCTAGGTCCCACTTGCACAAATTAAGAGATACTGACCGTAGATATCAGAGATCTTTTTTTTTTTTTTTTTTTTTTGGGAGACCGAATTTTTCAGAATCAACAACTGGAAAAACCTGCCAATATTGACTGCTCTGGACTCCAGAGCTGGTTGTGAAGGCTCTTTTAACTGTCATCCACCTGTAATCACCAAACCAGCTGTCCATAATCTGCAGACTCCATAGGCCTGGAAACAGCAGCCCTCATGCAGGAAGATGCCTGAGATGCGTAGACCACCGTAGATATCAGAGATCAACGGCCGAAATCTCCTAATTTCCCCAAATGGGACCTTGCCTTTGTTCCGGCAATCAGTGCTGAGCATTCCTAGCCAAGGCGGGGGCTTGGTCCCACCTGCGCAATTTTTTATTTTTTATTTTTTTTTCCCCGCGCATTTTCGTTGTACCATTTCTCTATTTATGCGTGTCATCCATGCGCAGGGGCCATGCAATCTACTCTGTGTCGTTCCAATTTTAACGGATGTCCCGAAGGACCACATTTTGTTTGTAGGAGGCTACCACGAACAGAATGGCGGGGGNAAAATTGATGGTCCCACATTTTGTTTGTAGGAGGCTACCACGAACAGAATGGCGGGGGCGCCTAAGGACCATGGATTGACAAAATTGATGGTCCCTACCGTCTTCCTCCGAACACAACGCACCCTCATTTTGGCTGCATCTGGTCGGAATTATAGCTTCTATACATTCAATTTTAGGGTGCGTTATGTTCGGGGGAAGTCGGTAGACGATCACCAGTCTCTTTCCGTTGCTTCTTTCTATTTTGGGCATGGGGAATACAAGGCACAATCCACGTGGCCAATTGGTTGGTCGGACTGCCAAAAGTGCGGACGAGACATGGAAAAATGACACAGCGTTGTCCATCGATCTTCTCTTATGGATTCTTCTCCGGATTGCGTGCAGTACGACCCTCTGATTAATCAACGGACTGACTTCTAATCGTGTTGATGGAGGGGATATGACGTCCAGTTTTTTTTTTTTTTTTGTCATATCACCTCCATCAACACGATTAGCAGTCAGTCCACTGATCGATAGAACGGTCATGCTGCACGGAATCCGTAGCAGAAGCGATGACAGAAGATCTATGGACAACGCGGTGCCATTTTTTCCATGCGTCGTTCGCACTTTGGGGAGTCCGACCCAATTGTCCAAGTGGATTGTGCCTTGTTATTGCCTTGTGAAACGGTATTCACCAGTTCGGAGTAGCTGATGCAGATCCCAGGGCTCTATCCCTAGTCCCCACCTTACCTGTGTCAACCCGTAGAGTTGAACCTGCGACCTGTAGGACTGCCAGTGGTAGGTAGGTCATCGTAGGTTACAGGGTATAGGGGATTCGAACTGTAGACCTGTCGGGTAGAAGTCTAGAGAGTCCAGAGGGCTTAGCTGTCGACTTTCCGAATACTTACCTGAAAGGGCCAAAGTCGTAGCTGCTACAGGACCGAAAGGCCAAGTAGATGCTTCTAGAAGTGGCCTTTCGGAGTCAGCCCACTGTAGGTCAAGGCAAGTGGGCAAGTGGTGGAAATCCACCGTGCAGAGTCAGCAGTCCCAATCCAGTCAGTCCGGTCCAGTCAAGCAAGTACCACCTGGGACTGTGTGCACCGTGGGCCAGGGAAACAGGGCAGGCCGACGAGCCACAGAGGTATAAATCAAGAGGCCGCACACAGCCATTCATTCATTCCTGCGGAAGCCATGCGGAAGTGCTGTCTCAGCGGCTTGTGCGAGGAGGTCTGCAGCAGCCTGAAGTCGAAGTGGGCGAGAGTGACGAAGTGCAGCCATAGCGATAGGGTAGAGGTAGCCATCGCTGCCATAGCTGTAGTCTATAGTGAGGTGTGTGTGTTGTGTGAGTGTTCAGCATGTCGCGTGTGGGATATCCGGGGTGATCCTGTGTGTGAACAGTGAGTTGTTGGGCGTTGAGCCACCATAGCCAGTGGAAGTGAACTCTTATCTGGATACCATATCTCTGAGTTCTGTGTGGGCGCATGTCGCCAGTTTGCTGCAATGCTGTTTACATGCATGAAAGGTGTGAATGAGACGAGTCTGATTGCATTGGTATTGGAGCTGGTACCCGCTATTCCATGCGCGCCGTCGTGTGCAGGCCCTGAAGCGCCATAGCAGAGGTGGCCGCCGAGGGATAC